CACAGGGGACAACCGACAGTGCAGTTGATCGATGTGACTCCGGAGTATGCAGCCATCTCCCAAGGTCACTTTGTATGATAGAGGTCCAGAGATCTTACAGATGACAGCAGGAACCCACAGATGACCAGGAGCGTAGTTCCGAGCCCAGATCGGATCACCCAACTGTGCCCCCGGTTGCGACACCTGTGACGCCACCCGGTCTGGGTGCAACCTGTCCAATTTAGTAATGAGTCTGCAACCCCAGCGGAGTTCAGCTGGGCTCCTCCCAGTGGTCGTGCAAGGTGTGGTGCGGTGTGCAAGAGGAAAGTCATCTAACCTGTGATGCCAGCTACCAAACGTGAGTCTTTTGAGTGCGTCCTTGGTGGTGCGCACCATCCTTTCAGCTTGCCCGTTGGTGGAAGGGTAGAAGGGAACTGACACTGCATGCCAGATCAGGTTGGCCTGAAGAAAAGCCTGGAACTCAGAAGAGGTAAATTGAGGGCCATTATCTGAAACCAGAACATCTGGAAGTCCGTGTGATACAAAAATTCCTCTCAACACCTGGATAGTCCTGGCAGTAGTAGTGGAGGAAACAGGAACAACCTCTAGCCACTTGGAATGGCTATCAACAAGGATAAGGAAGAATTGCCCCTGGAAGGGCCCAGCATAATCTAAATGTACCCTTGACCAAGGGGTGTGTGTCTCCTCCCACTCGTGTACAGGGGCCTGAGGCATTTCAGGCCGTGATTGTTGGCACACTTGGCACCCATGCACCTGAGCCTCGATAGCTTTATCAAGTCCAGGCCACCAAATATGGCTGCGCGCAAGCGCTTTCATCCTGACTATCCCAAGATGTCCCTCATGCAGAGAGATCAACATTCTAGACCTCAATGAGGCTGGGATGACTACCCTGCTACCCCATAAAAGGCACCCATTAAAGGTAGACGGTGCGTGTCTCCTTTGCCAAAAACTTTGAAATGTTGCATCTGGACACGTGTCAGGACATCCTGACAACACCCATGTCAGCACGCATGTAAGTGTGTGATCAGTGGCAGTTTCCACAGCCACGTCCCTAGCATTGAGGGGAGATTCAGGCAACTCCTGAATGGAAAGAATATTTATGCTTCTACCTGAGTTAAAGGCAATTTGCTTAGGCCATCTGCATGGCCCATTTCATTTCCAGGTTTGTGAACTAGAGTATAGTCATATGCTGACAGGAAAATGGACCATCTCAGCACACGAGGAGAAATGATATGTGGTGTCTGTTTGTTAGTAGTAAACAAACCCAACAGAGGCTTATGGTCTGTATAGACCGTGAAGTGGCGGCCATATAAGAAATCATGGAATTTCTTTATGCCAGCCACTATGGCCAAGGCTTCTCTGTCAATCTGAGTGTAATTCCGCTCTGCAGAAGACAGAGTCCTTGAGTAATAGGCCACAGGGACTTGTGTCCCATCAGCCTTCAGATGGCTAAGTACTGCTCCCACCCCATAAGGAGATGCATCGCATGCGATGCAAACAGGCAGTTGCTCATTGAAATGCGCTAAAACAGCATTAGAAGTGAGCAAGGCCTTAACCTCATTGAAGCTCCTGTCATGGACTTTAGTCCACTGCCAAGGAGCCTGCTTGTCTAAGAGCCTGTGTAACGGCTCTGCCACTGCAGCTTTGTGTGGGAGAAATGCATGGTAAAAATTTAATAGGCCCAAGAAGGCTTGCAGCTCACTCTTGGACTTGGGGCTTGGGACCTGTTGAATAGCTTGTAGTTTAGCTTCAGCAGGATGAATGCTTTGGGCATCAATCCTGAAACCTAAGAAGTCAGTGGAAGTGACTCCTATCTTGCATTTATCCTGTTTTAGCTTAAGGCCTGCCTTTCGAAAACAAAGCAAGACAGCCCTTAATCTTTCTGCTAAATTTTGAGATGACTCCTCAGCAATGAGGACGTCATCGAAGTAGGGACAGACCCCAGGAATACCTCGAAGTGTGCTCTACATGACACTTTGGAATATGCCAGGGGCTACATTGACCCCAAATTGCAGTCTCTTGACCTTGAAGGCCCCCCTGTGAGTTACAAAAGTCTGGGCCTCTGCAGCTGCCTCATCAACAGGTAGCTGTTGATAGGCCTGTACCAGGTCAAGTTTTGCAAAAATGCGCTTCCCCTTGAGGGAGGCCAGGATGTGGCTTACAACAGGGACTGGATAAGTGTGCTGTTGCAACGCCTTATTCAGTGTACACTTGTAGTCTGCACATATACCTATTTCCCCATTAGCCTTTAGAGGCATTACTATGGGGGTTTCCCATGGACTAGAATCCACAGGTTCTAAAATGCCCTGCTGGAGCAATTTGTCCAGCTCAGCATTTATCTTACCCTTGGGGGCAAAAGGTACCCTCCTAGGCTTAACCCTGATGGGCGTGATGGTTGGGTCTAACCGTAGCGAAATGGGAGGCCCCTTGTAGGATCCTAGTTCTGAACTAAACACATCTGCAAACTCCTTGCAAACCTCTGCAAGGCCCAGTGTTTGCAAGCTATGCAGCCCAGTTACTTGGATTCCCAGAGCCTCGAACCAATCGAGTCCAATAAGACCTGTACGTTCACCCCCAACAACCACCACATCTAAGGAACCTTCAAAATCCTTATACTGTACCTTAAGGGTGGCCTCCCCCTTAATACATACCATAGAATTTTGAAAATCAGTGAGTATTAGATTTGATGGTCTGTTTAACTCGAAGGCCACTACTGCTGCAAATCCTTTAGAAGGTATTAATTGAAATAATGGGAAGAGCAGACCCAGTGTCCAACTCCATCAGTATGGGAACCCCTTGCAACCTTACATTAATGGAAAGTTTCTTCTTAAGGTGCTTGTGGGTTTCTGTTTTTAGAATGCTCCTGCGCGATGCGCAGAAACCCACCCTGTGTTGGCTGGGGACCTTGGTACCTTTCTGAACCAATTCTTCCTGAGATTGAACCTTCTGGCAACCCAAACAGACAGATGCAATGTGGCCTTGCCTGCCACACGCCCGACAAATGGTGGAGCGGAACCGACAATAAGCTCGCTTGTGGCGTCCTCCACACCCGAAGCATTGAAGAGATGCTGGGGCCTTGACCGGACATCCCTTCTGCCTCCTCTCAGCTGCCTGGTGAAGTCTGTCGACCTCCTCTTCAGGATCCACTTCTGATCCTTCTCGAGCGTCCTCTTGATGGATGGTAGCTGTGTCTGGAGGATTCCTGGTGAGGCACAAGACCTTCACAGCTCCGCCTGTTGCTTCCTCAGCTACCACGTCTTGCAATGCATCTTGGAAGGAAACATCTTCTTTTGCAAAAATCTTTTGTTGTAAGTCTCTGCTCCTTAAGCCGCAGACAAAGTAATCACGCAGCCTCTCTTCCAGACCCTTGAATTCACAAGGTCTGGCTGTTTGCCTTAAGGCCACAATAAAGTCCGCAGCAGATTCACCCGGCCTCTGGTCCCTCTGCTCGAACGCGTGCCTCCAAGCAATGATGGATAACTTTGGCTGGAAGTGTTCCTTCAACATTTTCTTCAAGTCAGCGTATGTTACTGACTCCATAAGTGCAGGGGCCACCAGATTTTCTGCGATGTCAAAAGCTTTTTGTCCACAGGCACAGAAAAGAGTTGCTGCCTTCAGGCCATCTTCTTTAATCTGATTTACTCTGAAGTAGTTCTTCACCTGTGCTACGTAGGAATTCCATCTCTCTGAGTGGGAGACATCGAAATCAATCAAGTGGCCAATCTTCGATATCGTAAAGTTTACGATCTTCACCACTTGCTTCCTCTGCAAGCTGCTGTTTGGGGAAAGGGTCCTTTAGCCGAGCTCATCCTCCAGCAATGCTGTACTGGCAGGCTGGGACGCTGATTCAGACGCCGTCTTCCCCTCTTCAGGACTTCCAGGGTAAGTCCTTAAATCTTTTGTTTCAGCTTGCAAAGGATCCCACCTTCGTTGCCAGTGTTAAATCCTTCATTCGCGTGCGAATGATGAAGACACATGGTGACAACTAACAATGCTTTATTCTCCGACTCCAACTCCAAGCAAAAAGCAAAAGGCACACAGGCCTTTTTATAGGGCTTGAAACCCAGACAGAGTGAACCAGTAAGTTCTTCTTTCTTCGCGCCTTGCGCATGCGCACAAGGCTGGCACAGCTCTGTCTGGTCCCGGGCAGCTTTTAGAATGCCCAAGACCATTTGCAACAATTCTGGGCCTGCTGAGTTTCCTCATCAGGCCCAGAACACAACAATAAGCCCAGTTGTGATTTCACTTAGTGACCACTTTGCTTAACAACAAAGTTGCCAGTCCCAGCTAGGGTCACTTAATGAGGACTCTCTGTATTTGGGTACAAAAGACTGTATTTGTTCTCCTGAGGAAGTGCTCAAAGAATAAAGTTTATCGAAAAGGATTGTACTGTACTGTTAAGTCTCTAAGAAAGACGTATGTCTGTTTCCAACAGTCATTTAAAATTTAAGCCAGCTATGGAGGTTCAAATGGTGATCACATTTACCCCAGAATGCTGCAACCCCTATAATCCATGCTGGTTGTCAAGCACATGAATCTTGATCTCATGGTCCTGGGGACATTGAAATGGTCCTAACTGTGAGAACCGATTGCAAGTTATTTTTTTAGCACTGTCATCATTTTAAATGTCCATTAAAGGAACGGTCATAAGTCAAAGATTACCTGTACTTTGTTCTAAGATTCTTTTCAAAATATGCCATCACTTGTGGCACGTAGATGCTGAGACGCTTAATTCTGGAACGTGTAGTATGTTTTCCTACATTCACAAATTGGTCATATCAGATTTAGGGCTATAAAGCAGTGTTTCTCAACCTCAATGAGTTTAAGATTTGTGTTCTTCAACTCCCAGAATTCCCCAACCAGTTATGCTGGGAATTCTGGGAGTTGAAGTCCACACATCATAAACCCATTGAGGTTGAGAAATATTTTTTTATAACGCATTACCAGAAAGTAAGATTTTCATTTCTTTCCATCCTTTTAAAATTGAATTATCTTCACAGGTGGGAAAGGGGCCATTCCCAGGAAATCCATGATCAGTGCTGTTTTAATTAAGAAGAGCATGAGGAAAGCATTGAAAGGAAGAGAGTTCAAAGTGGGTTTGCCCTGCCACGGAAATGGACAAGACAGTTCACCATGGCGGATACATATTCACCATCTGGCACATCACCAGGAACGGCCTTACGATAGCCTCCAAAATCGGACTGGATGTGGCACGTGGTCTTGCGAAGAAGAGTCCTTAGATGGTACTGAACCGGCTATTGCATTCTCCATCAAAGAGGAAAATTCACACCCTTCTGAAGAGATGGTCAGTTCCAACTCGACTCGGACATCGGTAACTTCCATTTGGACTTACTCCAGTCTCAACATCTCAGCTTCGAAACCAGTATCTAGTAAGCTATCGTATTACCCTTTCCCTCAGAAGAAAAATCCCAAGGTTTCTGAAGCTGCAAAGAAACTTGGGTTATATGTCTCCCAGTGAGAAGTCTACCACAGAAGACAGTGGTAGGCCTATCACTACAGTTAATTTTTCGGTAGATACAGCAAGCTTCTTTTTGCCTCATGCACTGGTATAATTTGCCTGAAATATACAGGTAGCATTTCTGTTCTTGTGAACATGAGAACTGAATGGACCCACATATACTGTTTTGAATTAATGTTTCTGTAAGACATTGTTCCCCAACCTTGGCCACTTTAAGAGGGGTGGACTTCAACTCCCAAAATTCCTCCCTACCCATACTGGCTGAGGAATTCTGGGAACTGAAGTCCATCTCTCTTAAAGTGGCAAAGATTGGGAATCATTGCTCTAGGACAGTGGTGGTGAACCTATGGCACACATTTCCAGAGGTGGCACTCAGAGCCACGCACACTGTTGCCCCAGCAGAGTTCGCCAGAGTAGGGAGCACATGGCGTTTGGAAGTGACAGGGCAGAAAGTGAGTGAGCAAGCAGCGTTGCCCCCCCCCCCGGGATACCCTGGAGATGGCGAGGAACTAGCCCCGGCCACGCTCACCCAGTCTGCCGTGACCACTGCAGCTACACCCACCCATTAAGCCACGCCCCCCATCCCGCCTGAGGGCATCACAATGCTGATGCAGCCCTGGCACTTTGCGATAAATAAGTGGGTTTTGGGTTGCAGTTTGGGCACTCAGTCTCTAAAAGGTTCGCCATCACTGCTCTAGGACAGACATGTCAAACACATGATGTGACGTATCGGAACGGTTTTGCCATTGCCGGCCATGGGGTGGGTGCAGCTTTCAGATGATGCGTCCGGCCTATGAGCCAGCAGTTTGACACCCCTACTCTAGGAGTATGTATGCTATTCCAAGGAAGGATTATGTAGAACAGACATGTCAAACTCACGATGTCACATGACGTCGTGCAACGTATCGGGCCGGTTTTGCCATTGCTGGCAATGAGGTGGGCGCGGCTTCCACGTGACGCATCCAGCCCATGGGCCGGCAGTTTGACACCCCCGATATAGAACAAGGGTGACCGATCTTGGCAACTTTAAAACTTGTGGACTTCAACTCCCAGAATTCCCTAGGCAGCATGGCTGCCTGGGGAATTTTGGGAATTGAAGTCCACAAGTCTTAAAGTTGCCTGATGTACAACTGCAGCTACTTCCACACTTCTGCATCTCACACACGGTTAAAGAATGCTGAAATTATGTTTGCTTCTCAAGCAATTTTCTTTTTAAGGTCAGCCTGTCCAATATTCATTAGAAGAAAAGGGAATTTTCTCCTCTCGATTCTATGGAGTGATAATGGGAGGAAAATGCAATAAGGAAATGACCGGTCACCTTGTGGCAGATGCATGGTGGTATCTACCATTAGAATTTCCCTCCCAGATTGAAAATGAGTGAATTCCATTGCTCCAGCCTGAAACCCAAAGCTTGAATGTGCTCTGTGTATTCTAATGTCAATCTACTAGCTATATTTTCGTTAAAATGTATTTTGAGTGAATAAGACTCTAGACTAGCATAAACATGTGTTTTGAAGACTCACTGTGAAGAAAAAAAATCGTCCCATGGACATTTATTTTATTTTCACTCTGTCCTATCAAAGGTTATTAACTGTATGTAGGCAGATAGTCCTTGACTTACAGCCACTCATTTAGCAACAGTTCAAAGTTACGACAGCACGGAAAAAAGAGTGACTCACAACCAGTCCTTGCACTTACAGCTGTCACAACATCCCCTCCCAGTTATGTGATTAAAATTTGGGTGCTTTGCAACTTGTCTGTATTTAGGATGGTTGCAGGCTTGTGTGAATGTCATCTGTGACCTTCCCAGCAAGCTTCACACAAGCAAAGTCCACTGGGAAGCCAGATTCACTTAATAGCCATATGAATCGCTTAACAACTGCAGTGATTCTCTTAATGACTATGGCAAAAAGGTCATAAAATTGGATGCAAGTCATTTAACAACTGCCTTGCTTAGCAAGGGAAAATGTGTTTCATTGTGATTGTAAGTCAAGAACTACCTGTATTTGATCCAGTTCGGTAGTTTATTTCTTCATTTTAAAAGAAGAGAGTTTGGAGGTTTATTCCAAATATTCCCTAAACACCCCTTCATTCCTTTCAAGAATAGATGAAATGCGTTTTTTAAAAACATTAAGTGACATGACAGTTTTTCCTTTCAAATAATTATCTTTAGGAAGCAGAATACTCTTCCCACTGGGCTGTATAGCCACAAAAATATCTATCACAAATATTGGCCTTTCCAAAATTAATTGTAGCTCAACTGAGCTAAATATAGGCCTGTGTGCGGGAAAGGCAATGACATATATTCTTAGCTGAAAATGAGTCCAATTAACTTTAGTAGATCTTATTTCTCAACAGAGGCAAAGCAAGAGGAATTTTAAATATCTGTCTGAATTGTCAATTTGTGATATCACTCGTAGAATTTAACAAAGAGAATACTTTTGTTAAATTCAATGTATCTTTTTTTCAGGATACATACTCCAAAATCAACTGATTAAACCTTGAAATGATCTTTCTGCTGTCAACAAATATTTTATATTCCAGATTTACTTTTTCCACATTACATTCTCATCTGCAAGTTGGAAAATAGTACCTTTTTGAACCCCTGAATAAGACTAACAACTATGATATATAGCTTTTTATCTGTGTATCATGGTATGATTTCTTTCATTCATACATATATTATTTTGCAAATAAGATAAATTAGGAATAAAAGTTTACGTTGTATCCAGATCCTTTGTTGGGTTTGTTTGCATGCATGATCTACAGAAATCCCAGTTTATCATGATAGGGGAAAGATAGGTAGTCCTTACTTAATGATTGGTTGCTTAGCAAACAGCTACACAAAAGAAACTTATGATCCAATTCCAGAATTCCAATGATTGCACATCCTTCCCTCATAGTCACATGACTGCATCTGCAACCAACATCATTACTGGTAGTTGACTTATAACCAATCATTTAATGGCCATTCCAAGTTACAATGGCATTGAAAAACTAACTTACGACAGTTTTCACACTTATGACCATTGCAGCATCCCCATGGTCATGTGATCAAAATTCGGGATGTGTGGCAACAGGCTTGTATTTATAACAGTTGCAGCGTGCTCACTTTTTGAGATGTGGGGAAATCAGTTTCACTTAACAATCTAATTTAACCGTAGTCATTCACTTAACAACCGTATCTAGAAAGGTCATAAAATGGGGCAAAACTCAGTTAACAACTATGTCACTTAGCAACTGAAATTTTGGATTTAGTGTGTTGAAGATTATCTGTATAGTGAGTTGCAGCCTTCCAAATGCATTGACTTGCTTAATCACAGTGTTCGTTTTATGATGTGGCAACTCACTTATCAACCTTGCAAAAAAGGTTGTAAGATAGGTTGGTCACGTGCATGACTTGATTTATGACTATCTTGAGTTACAACAGAAATTCCAGACCCCGTTACAATCATAAGTCAAGAATTATCTGTATTGCAGGGAATACCAGCATCCAGTTGATCTAAAAAAAAAAAAAAAAAAAAGCAACAGGTAGTATCTGTTTAGAATTTGAATGGGAGACCACCAGGACATCTTCAGATTGCAGACAGCAGTGGAAGATGGAAAAAAAAAGTCAGTGATAGAGCATTTCTCTGTTCCTGCTAAGTTATTATGTCTACTAAGATACACATTGTTGGTTACCACAAGACCCAGTCCGTTCTGGACCAACCGCAGTGATGACTCCCTTGAGATGACGATTAGTGAGCAGGGACTGATTTTAGGCAGGCAATGAAAGAGGATGGACCTAATCAAAAACTGGTTAGGTCGGGAAGCCTGGGGGAAGCATGAAGGCAGGGCTCTTCAAACTTGGCCCTTTTATGAATTGTGGACTTCAGCTCCCAGAATTCCTCAGTCAGGCACGCTGGCTGAGGAATTCTGGGAGTTGAAGTCCACAAGTCATAAAAGGGCCAAGTTTGAAGACCCCTGCATTAAGGGAACACAAAGTCATAAAAGGGCCAAGTTTGAAGACCCCTGCATTAAGGCAACACAAATCGCAAGAAGGAGAACCCCATATCCCCAGGAACAAGCCAAACTCTAAACAAACAAACCGAAAGTTTGTTTTGGGGTATTTTTATTTGGGGGTCTTCGTTTTCTCCCTTCTTCCACTTTACTGGATAGGGCGGCTTCATGCAGCCCAGACTTGCTTTCGAGGAAGCCACGGATTGCTTTAAGTTAAAAGGAGCCGCCAAAGGAGTCATACCCCAAATTCAAGGACTGCACTGCCCACGAGAGCCACTAGAGGGCAACAGCCGTCTGCAAATCGTCTGGCTTCTCTCCTGGAGAAAGGCAGCCTTCTGCATCGTCAGCGGGGGGGGGGGGGCGGGAGGATGAAGGGAGGAGGAGGGGCGGGGGGAGGGAGGGAGGATGAAGGAAGGAGGAGTCAGAAAGTCATACACTCTCTCTCTCTCTCTCTCTCTCTCTCTCTCTGTGGTGCGCGCGTGCGCATGCCCACTCCGACTTTTGGATGACGGGCGCCAAAATGGCGGCGAGAGGTCGCCAGGCCGCTGGTCACGTGCGCTCGCTCCTTGCCCCGCCCCCCTCGGCCGGGCGGAGTTCCCCCGTCAGCGCAGGAGCGTTCTCTCGCTTTCGTTTCTGACGTCCTGCGGGAGCTGTTCGAAGTTCTCCCTTCGCCAGTCCAGGACCGCGCGCGCCAGCGACGAAGAGGAGCTCACGAAGGTGAGAGAGGTGTGCGTGTGTGTGTGTGTGTGTGTGTGTGGCGCCCGCGGGCAACAGGCTGGGACGGTTGGCGCTCCGTCTTCCTCCTCGCTCAGAAACAGTGGAGCAGCCGCTGATGGAGATCGCCCAAGGCCGGCCGGCGTCTGTCCCTTGGCGACGGGAGAGAGGGAGCGCAGGTTGGAGATCCTGGGGAAGTGTAGTCCCCTGAGGGAGTGTAGTCCTCGCTCATCTTCCTGGTCTTACCTCAGACGGGTCCCTCTTTGCCTCACCTGAGCCTCCAGGTGAGCTGGGCTTCGAGACCTGTCATCTTGGTTAGGTGTTGGGAGTTAGATGTAGGCATCTCTGCATCCCCTCCCCCAAGATACCGCACCAAAATAAGGAAATAAGTGTTGTGACGTCACGACGCGAGCTTCCTCCCACTGTGCTGTGACGTCACAACGCGAGCGTCGTGCCTGTGTGTTGTGACGTCACAATGCAAGCTCCGCCCTTGCGCCGTGCTGTCATGAGGCAAGCTCCGCCCCCTTGGAACTTGCATTGCCCTCAGGACAAATTCCGCCTCAGGTCAGCCTCCCTACGCAGGTGTGGGAGAGGTGGCTGTGTTGTGATGCCTTAATACAGGGGTCTTCAAACTTGGCCCTTTAGTGACTTGTGGATTACAACTCCCAGAATTCCCCTGCCTTAATTACAGTGCTTCTCAACCTCAGCAACTTTGAGATGCGTGGACCCCAGCCAGTACATCCTGGCTGGGGGATGCTGGGAGTTGAAATCCACACATCTTAAAATTGCTGAGGTTGAGAAGCACTGCGTTAATACATTTTTTTGTCACTTGTTCCCCCCCCCACCATATATCCCCAACTTACATAAATAAACCATGCAATATAATTTTCAGCCATTTGTTCTGCTACAAGCTCATGGCATAGCTGTAGCAAACAAACTAAAACCTTCCAAAACATCGTAAGCGAATCAAACCATATAATATTTATGTATTAAATATATTTTAAACATTTATATAGCTGCCCATCATACAACAAACTCTTTTTTGCTTGGTCTTTTTTCCTGGCATTACCATTTATAAGAGCATTGAGGATATTGTAAAACAATGAAACATAGAATCCCCTGCATAACACTTGTTATGTTGGAGAAAAAAACTAGGAAATAGTTTTTGTTGTGTTGTGTTGCAATCCAAAGGGTTAAACACTCTACAGGTAGTCTTCAGCTTGCAATAGTTCATTTAGTAATCATTCGAAGTTACAGAGGCACTGAAA